ATTTTTTTATCCCCGCCCGCTACGTGAGCGTTTAAGGGTTTTTGTTTATTATAGAAGAAAACTCGTTAGAATAAGCAGGATTCCCCCCTCTACACCACGTGGCGTTCGGTACTTATATAAAAAAAAAAAAAATAAGAATAAAAAAAACCTTTTTTTTATCATGCCGCAAGCAGCCGCACCGGTTTCCCGCCTACAACGCTACTTGAGCGCTCGGGGGTTTGCCGCTCGTTGCTGGCATTGAAGAGGGTCCTTAAATGTCGCAAGCATCGCACCGGTTTCCCACCCTCAACGCTACGTGAGCGCCTTGGGGGTTTGCCGGCCCGTTACAAGCATCGATAAAAGAACCATTTTTTTATATATTTATTTTTGAAATATATTTTTTTATCTCATTTTTTTTATATTATATATATATATATATTATATATATATATATATATAATATATATATTATTATATATATATAACAATATATTAGTGTATATATACATAATATATAACTGATATATTAATATATATATATATAACTTATATATTAGTATATATAACTGATATATTTATATATATATATAACTTATATATATATATATATTATATATATTAATATATATAATATATATAATATATAAATATTAATAATATTAATATATATATATAATATATATATAAGATAGAGAGAGGGACCGGCTGAGAGATTGGATCGGGTAGGGGGATCGGAGGAGAGCAAAGGGGCGACGGCTTACAGAGGGAGGTCGGCTCAGGGAGGCATCGGCAAGATGGATCGGCAGGTAAGAGGTGCTCTCCTCTCTCTCTCTTCTCCTCTCTCTCTCTCCTCTCTCTCTCTCTCTCTCTGGATCGGAAGCAGCAAGGGGTCGAGTGAGGAGAAGGCGACGGGCTCAGGAAGGTGGACGTTTGGCTTCGGCTTGGTGAGGTTCGGGAGAGGCAGAGAGTGGAGCTCTTGAGTGGCTGGTTGGGCTTGGGATTGAGGGAGATCGGGAGGAGTTAAGAGGGCTCGGCAGCTTGGAAACGGGATCGGGAGTGAGGGAGTGGAGCGAGGCAGCGAGACGAATGATCTCTTTGAGTCGGTATTTAACGACGCGAGGAGCGAAATCGAGGCCATCGTCGCAGGTTTCGCGGAGAGCGACGGAGGGCGCCGAAGGAACAATGCTTTCGGCGAGATTTAGGCCAGATTTGCGGCAGGATTCGTGGATCCGTCGAGCATAAGGTTTGTATGCCGGATTTCAACTTTGCTTTCATCTCCTCTTGTTTCTTTTGTGTTTTACACAAAGGTCAACACTTCTCCTCTAGGAAAGCTTGCGAGCTTCTCCTCTTTCGTCTTGGCTTCTTACCTTTTTCGTGTCTCCGCAAGTTCCACTCCATTTGTATCCTTCTTCTTGAGCTTTGGGTGTTTGTTGGCTGATTTGGGAGCATTTGCTGGAGGAGTTTAAAATTGGACGGTTGGACGATCTTGCTGTGGTGGACCATCGGTTTGCTAGCCCTAAGCACTTATCTTACTTTAACCTTACATTTCGATGCATGTGAGGAACCCGCTTTGACGGTTGTCTGAGGATAGCGTTTTTTTTTTTCTTGTTTCTTTTGATTTGTCTTCTAGTTTTTTTTTGTTGGATTTTGGATGTATAATATGATTGCTACTATTTGAATCGAGTCTGGTTAAGTTCTGCCCATTGTTCTCCTTGTTTTGGCTTTTCTAATTAGTGTGCTTACATCAAATTTTGATATATATTATATAATATATTATATAATATATATATATAATATATATATATATATATATAATAAATGAAATTTCTGCAATAAAATGGATATTCTCTTTGATTTCAAATATACCATCAAGACTATCCATTCTATTTGAGATTGTTAAAATTAGTGGCATATATGATTTCAAAAATTTGTTGAATTTTTTAATCATCAATAAAAAAACAAAATTTCTTGATGGATGATTTTGAATGCTGTGTGGAAAAGAAAATGAAGTTAGAGAGGCTTTAAAGAAAATGAAGTGTGGAAAAGCTGTTGAACCTGATGATATTCCAATAGAGATGTGGAAATGCTTAGGAGATGAAGGAATTTCTTGCCTTACTAAACTTTTTAATATTATTTTGAAGACTAAAAAGAACCTAGATCAGTGGAGAATGAGTGTGTTAATTCCTATTTTCAAAAATAAAGGTGATGCACAGGAGTGTGCTAATTATAGATGAATTAAGTTAATGTGTCATACTTTAAAACTATGGGAGCGAGTTATGGAGCGTAGGTTGCGGCGTGATACTAATGTTTCTCAAAATCAATTTGGATTCATGCCGGTAGGCCTACTATGGAAGCCATACATTTATTGAGAGGTTTGATGGAGAAATATAGAGAGAATAAGGAGGATCTACATATGATATTTATTGATTTAGAGAAAGCATATGATAAAGTTCCAAGAGAAGTGCTATGGAGAGTTCTTGAAAAGAAAGGAGTTAATAGTGCTTATATTCAAATTATTAAAGATATGTATACATGAGCTATTGTGTTCAAACACAAGCTGGTGAGACCTGCAATGCTTTATGGTGCCGAATGTTGGCCATTAAAAGATAAGCATAATACTAAGTTAAGTGTTGCAGAGATGAGGATGCTTAGGTGGATGAGTGGCTTGACCCTTAGAGATAGGATACGAAATGAGCATATACGAGAAAAAGGTTGGAGTAGCTCCAATGGAAGATAAGATTAGACAGAGTCGCCTTAGATGGTTTGGTCAGATTAAACGGAGGCCTTCCGATGACCCAGTTAGGAAAGTTGAGGTATTAGATTTGACTTACGTTGTTGTTGTTGTTGTTGTTGATTTTGAATGCATGAAAAGATTATTGTGATTATTGATGTGAAGAAATTGTCAAATAAATATTGAGTATTTAATGATATTTGAAATATATTTGATGATTTTGCTTGGTGAAATGCAAAAGTTTATCTGAAAATTTAACTTGGGATCTATGTTATTTAATTAATTAACATGTATGTTTTACAAATGATTGATTTATTTTGCAAATTATTGAAACTCCATTACCAAGCATTTTTTTCTTATTATGATTAATGTCAGCGGTGTGATCTTGATTTTGTATACCATATGAAATTTTAGAATGGAAAATATGAAATGAGGTATATTATCTCTCTCCTCCAACGAGGTTAATTGTTCATTATCTATATATAGATATATAATTTTGTGCTGTTTATTTTTTCTTGCTCTCAGTTCATAGTGAAACTAGGAATGGCTATTTATTTTGAATGAGTAGGGTCTTTGGTTGAGCATGTGGTCGAGTACTGATCAATTTGCTTTTTGTTTTGTGTGTGGGTAAGGTATGGTTTTGAGGATGATTTTGGATTTTGATGAGATACTTTAGATTAGGGTTGCACATCTAGGAAAGATTTGAGAGTATACATTTAAGGGGTTTTGAATTGTAAAGATTATGGTGATGTATTTATTTAACAGGAGGTTTTTAGGATTTCTTGGTTTGTTTATCAAAATTGATGGGATGGGGAAAGAACTGTGGATGCTGGAAATTTTGTGAGGATAATGAATTACAACTTTTTTGTGGTGATTACAATCTTTTTGGCTTTGATACCAATTGATGAAATTGATACAACAAGAATCTTCATCAGGTTTCTTGCTGTCATTGGATTAATATAAGGATTGATGAAAATTACTTATTGCTGGAGATTAAGGGAGGAAAGAGAGAGAGAGAGAGAGAGAGAGAGAAGGTTCAGAAGCTTGCATTTTTGCATGTTGGAATCCCAAGGAAATCAAATAAATAAGATTAATACTACTAAGTTCATATGAAATGACTCATGCACATAACATGAAATAGAGCTAAAATTAATTAAGCAAGGCAATGTTCATGGATGATATTAATGTTAGTAATAACCATGTTAAAGACAATGGTCATGTTGGCGATGATCATTTATCTGTCTTTATTTTCTTTATTATTCAGTTAGTTTGGTGGAGAATTTAGAGAAAACTGTTATTCTTCTTTGTACTTCTTTGTCAAAATTAGCATACGTTCTATAATACTACATGATAAATTTATTTTGTAGCCTCAAACGTACCATTTATTTTACTCCCTTGGACAGTTCCAGCAGAGGCTTGAAATTCCCCCTCTTCCCATTGAAGTTCTCTCTCCGACATCTCTCTCTATTTGCATCCATCTCTTTATTACACTGAAGAAAAGTGCTTTGTTATAGGCATTGGGCTTGTAGGAAATGGAAGTGGATAACGGATGTGGGATTATTGAAATATGGGCATTGCAAGGGGTCATTATTTTATAAAACTATGGGCATTTCAAATAATCTTTTTTTGTTCTTTTGTTTTTTTCGTTGTATCTATACAATCAACTATAAGTAGTTGTATGAGCGATCATTAGATAAATGGATTGAAGGCAGTGGGTGGATAAATGGTTAGCCAGTTGGTTGGTCTATGGTTGGTTTTGAGTGTAACATACATGCATCATTTAAAAGACCATAGTGGTGCATGTGCATGCATTATCATGGATGAGAGAATACATCACAAAGTTCACAGCGTTGATGTTCGCCAACAATTAACTCCCATTGTCCCATCTCAATTAAATTCTATATATTCTGAGATATTGACAATTATTGAATAAAACCAGAAATTTATTCTTGCAATAATCAGGTTGCTTCTATTCTCTTCATTGATCTCAATGCCTCCATTTGAAACAAGGCATGATGAGTAACAAAAGGTTTATCATTCATGCATGGTGCATTCTTTTGTGTTGTTTCAAGTCTATAATAGTAAATTCGATGATTTATTACTTTTGTTTACTGTGGAGTATCATACATTTGGATGTTAATCACTATTTTTTTATTCTTTATGCACTCCATTCTTTTTCTTTTGTAAATAGTTGTTCCTTCTTAAATATTTTACCAGCATGGCTAGTATTTTAAACTATATTTCTTTTTGCTTAACAACTGATTTTCATGTTTAAAAATAAAAATTGCAGCCTGCTTACATGTTTACTGACAAGGAGCATCGAGGACCATTTGAGTTGGCTGAAGAACTTGGAAGTTTGTCCCTTGGTACTGGCTCTGTAGAACATGTAATACCTGCGCAGAGTTATGAAGCCAGTGACAACGACTTACTCCTTGGCACTTCGGAAAAGGAAGAAAGTAGAGGCTTGGGCAATAATGATTCTGCATACAGTGCTCCTGGTTATGATACATCTTTAATATCTTTGGAGGATAAGCAAGTGCAACCTGAATCCAACTTTTTAAGCCTTGCAGTGCCAACAATGCCATCACATACTTCATCAGTCCTTGACGATCTTCTTGGTTTGGGTACTCCTATTATACCGCCACCTCCAACTTTGAAGCTTAATCCGAAAGCAGTTTTAGATCCTAGTAATTTCCAAAGAAAGTGGGGTCAATTAACAACTTCTCTGACAGAGGTATTGTATGTTCTAATTATCCTATTAAACTAATGGATTTTAGTTGATATTCTACCAAGTAACTTTACTATTGGTTTTTGTTGCTATGTAGCATCTTAAATTGTAGAGCCATTATGCTTAATTTTCTAGATTCATTGATGAAATCTCACACGGTATAAGGTAACACAAAGTATACAATCTACTAGTAATTATCATGGTTGTTGGATTAAAAAATCACTTATTTAAGTGCAATTTTTTATGTGAAACATGAAACTTAGGGCTCTAATAAAAAGTTGACCTAGAGTCTAATTTGGCTCAATTTGTTTGGATCATGCTTGAAGTGGCTTGCGTAACCCCAAAACATGGGAGAATGTTTGAATTAATTAAACTAGGACCCCAAAAAGGGCCTATTTTAGCTCAGAACCATCCTAAATTGGCTATACTAGATTGGATTGGCCCGATATGGACTGATTGTTTCCCTCTTATGGGCTTGTTTCCACATGGGAGAGTGTGGGGATGGCATATTGTCGTATTCGCATGGAGGGGGACCGATGAATCAAGTTTTCCCATAATGCTTACTGTTGACCTGCTACACAAAAAAAAAAAGAGAAAAAAAATGCTTACCTACTCTCTGCCGCCAGACACGTCCGCGACATTTCTCCCACGAAGCACGACCTCACGTCGTTAAAGAGCCAAGGAAAAGAGGCCTTCGGCCTCTTCCTCTCATTCCCTTGCTCCATCTCATGATCACTCTCGCTCTCTCCCTCTCTCGCTCGGCCTTGCTCGTTCGACGACGTACCCTTCCTGTTCGATCGGAAGTTAAGACGTTTTGATCGGAAGTTAGAACGGGAACTCGCTCGCTGTAGAGGTAGCTTTCTCCTCGTCGAGCTCTTCTTCGGCTTTCCCGTGGCTGGTCGAGCCCGCACCTTCGACGACTTTTCCTTCTGTCGGATCGGAAGCAAGATCGGGAGCTCTCCTGTGAAGGTAACTCTCTCCCCATCGAGCGCTTCTCCGGCTCCTTCGCTGTTCGGCTTTGCTCCTTCGTCGGCTTCCCTTCCTGTCTGATCGCAAGCAACGACGAGAGCTCGTGTTGTGAAGATAACTTTCTACCCTTCACGCGCTCTTCTCCGGCCAAATCTCATGAATCTGCCGAACTGAGAGAAAGAGAAAAAAAAGAAGAAGAAAAAATGATCCCTTCTGACGCCGCCGATAGTCGCCGACGACTTCCCCAAGGTATAAATTTGTGACTCAAACCCCGCCCTTGACACGCTTGACGCGCCGGTGGACCTCCTATACGCGCTCTTGTAGCACGATAGGGGGAAATCCGGTGCGACAGATGCGACGAGGCGGGTAAGCCCTATACACGCTCTTATCGCGTGGTGGGGACGGTCCTCGACCTCGACATCGGCGCCAACAACTGCTACGCAAAGGTATGATGTTCCAAATCCCATTCTCGACATTTACGGCGGACCGAAGATCCACCTATACGCGCTCTTGTAGCACGAAAGGAGGGAGCCCGGTGCGACGCATATGGCGAGGTGCTGCCGAAATTTTCACTGAAGTACACAAGACTTGAACAATATAAAGACATCATTTGAGCAGCAATACAAAGGACAACAGAGGACTCGTACTTGAACTGAAAGTATAGAACTTGGACTCAAACGAACAGAGGACTTGTGGACCTTAATCAGAATAAAATTTAAATGATTTCTAAAGATCAAATCCAAATAAAATAAAATCAAACCGAAATAAAAAATCAAAATCAATTTAAACATGCAATTGGATTCAAAGGACTGCAGGGGACTTGGACAAGAATAGAACATCAAACAAAAACTTTGATTTGGACTGGATCTAAGCTTGAACAAGCATTTGCACTTAAACAAGATAAAGCAACAAACAGACTCGTAGAAGTCCTAAACTTGAATCAAATAACAAAAATCTTGCTATCAAAGCTAGTCAACTTGCAAGTGAACTTGTATATTCATTCTTTCATTTGATCCAGACAAAGAACTTGAACTCGTACTATACAACATTACGTGGGAGTTGTAGACTCAATGAACTCGAGTCTAAATGAAGCTTAACTTGGACTCAAACACATGCAAAGATCAAAATTTGGATCACACACGGGAAGCTCAAACTACAAGACCTCAATGCATGCAAATAAAGAATGTAGTGGACTCTTACAATAGTCTCTACGAGATCGGGTGCATCGTACCTGCAAGAATGAAATGCACGGGCGTCCCCCCTACATGCACTATTGAAACCTCCAACACTAGCAACAGGACCTGTTGATTGGAGAAGGCAATACTACCACTTGATAATGGAGGATATGCCCATACAAACAAGTGCAATCATCAAACTACTTGAGATTGGTGAAATGTGGGTAGGATGCAAGAACAATGACTCTCCTACGAGTACTTCCAGGAGGTCGTAACGGATATAATGAGTCACTTCAAATGAACACAACCTACTTATGGATAACAACAGTTTGTATATCGTAGGTACAACGAACCACTCTGGGCACAAGTTCAGACATCCCCCACCTGAGATTGATGAAAAGTGGGTGTTATACAAGAACAATGGGTCTTTTACAAATACCTTCAGGAGGTCGTAGGGGATACGATGGTCCCCTGCAAATGGATACTTGTGGATAACAACAATGTATTGTAAGTACAATGAATCACTGTGGACATAAGTTCGGATATTACCTACAACGACGGTGACCAAGATCTACAAGTGCGTTGAGTACAAGGGAGACTATGTACAAAAAGGACACCCTCTGACAGAAGAGAGGAAATGTTTGAACAAATTAGAACTAAACTTCCTGGTGTTCTAAAGTCTCTTCTTAGTTTATAATTAAGAAGAAAATAGCTCTAGTACCCACAAACACCGGAAATAACAAGTCTACTACACTGAAGATCCTAAAAGAAGTTCTCCCCAAATCAGCAGTTATTGACTCCAAAGTTTAGAAAGACCCTCCCTGCTGAATGAGAAAGGGGGAGTCAACACCAAGACGCACGCCACTAGATCTGCAACACTTATACAAGCAGACATAAGACATCTACAATTTACAACGCACTGCCACCAGATTTGCAACACTTATGAAAGCAGACAGAAGGCGTCTACAAGTACTTTCAAAATACACCTACACGTGCACCGTAGTTTGTATACACATAGCTACACAAAGGGAAAAGTACAATCTCGACCCGCATGAGTCCCGGCGAGCGTGTCATTGGTACACACGTGACGCCTAGGGATGTTGTGCGGGTTGAAAAGTGAATTCAAGTTCGAACCCGATCCTTCTATACGGATCAATAGGAGTTGACAGGGTTCGAACCTTCAAACAAATACACGGTTGTGGCGACCAGTGTATTTGTTTTAATACATTCATATTAGGCCTACAATCAAAAGAATTCACTAAACAAAAGGCACGAAGCCTACGAAACCCGATCCTCCTAAGCATGTAAATAGGAGTAGACAATGTTCAAACAATCGGATAAATATGCGGTCACAAAGTCGACTGGATATTTATCTTATACATTCATATTAGGCCTTCAACAAAGAAAATTCATGAACAAATGCACAAAGCCTACGAAAAACCCGATTCTCGACCAATAGCTTGGTTAAGTTTACAGGATTCGATCAACAAATGGAAATGACCCCAAGTACACCCCGATGATGGCCGCGTTGATTGAAGATCTCAACTGGAGGGATTCACAAATAATTTCAAATGCCTCCTAAAAGTCCATTTCAAATATCCAAAAAAATCTCAAAAATCCCAAAATTTAAAAAATATTTAAAATTGAAATAAACCCATCAAACGCTTAAAGTAAAAATCCGACTACCCTCCGCAACAGTTTGCCAAGGTGGACAAATTAAAATTTACCTTAGCTCACAAAGAGTCAAATGTCTAGTCGAAAATATCACTATGATCCATTCTCAAACAATCTCCTGCCAGTAAGGACGTGGTACGTGTCCTCTAACCGGCAATTTTGACGCGAAATGGCACCGCAGGATAAACGGTTATGACCTGGGGCCCTCTAAACCGTGTGGTTTTGTCGCCAAATGGCACCACAAATACCGGTTATGGCCAAAGCCAATACGCTCCTTAATGGCATCAAATCCTTGAGATATGAATCAATAGGATATGATCGATAGGGCTCTGTTAGCTAAGGTGGATTCAAATTTGTCCCCTTAGACAAACATTCAATTTAGCTCTACAAGGTCCCCTTGGACGAAGCAACCCATGGCTGCCGACAAGGATCCTTCTGTCAGGTTGGGTCGACTACCTCCTCTGACTAAGTAGACCAGCGACCACGATGGCCCGGGACGACGGAACAATGGGATCTTGATCGGGTTTATCATCCATTCCCCCACCATCCGCTTTAAGTGCAAAGATGGTGAAATTTCTATTTTAAATATCAAATCCTCCAAAATCTTCAAATTTTCGAATCCAAACCCATACTGCTACTATATGCCAGATAACGCGTATATCTACATATCTGATTGATGACTAGCCTTAATCGAAAGTTCTCTCTCGTGATCGAGAGGGGTAATTAACTAAAGGGGCTTGCGCTTATAGGAATCCAGAACTCATATCATAAAGTACTCGCAAAATGAGGGCGAAATCTCTAGATAGTGTCTTATCTACAAATCCATCTGCCTTCCAAAATTTACCCCAGAACTTAGTCCGTTAAACTTCCTCGCCATAAGAAAAAGCAAATCAGTGCGGCGGGGAGGCCGGGGTCGAATTTTCGGAGCCCACAGATTTCTCCAAGTGATTGCAGAAACAAAGAAGCTCATAGATGCAGGCTTTATTCGTGAAGAATTATATGCTGACTGGATTGCCAATATCGTCCCTGTAAAGAAGAAGAATGGCCAGATTCGTATCTGCTTCGATTTCGAGGATCTCAATAAGGCGTGCCCAAAAGTTGATTTTTTGCTCCCAATATCGGAACTTTTAGTGGATAACACGTCCAATTACGATATGTTTTCCTTTATGGACGGATCGTTAGGCTACA